CCTCCGCGGTGACATAACGCGCAACGCTACATACCCGTAATCAACTTCCTACTGTGACGTGGCACTCATTACGCAACAGGCAAGCACTGCAGCTATATAAGTGAGCTGCACAGCAGCTACCAGTCAGTTCTACTGTAGCAGTAGGCGACTTCAGTTGTACTGAAGACATTTCCGAGTTGTACTGTGACAGCCGAGGAGAGTTGTACTGTAACAGTCGCCGAGTCGAGTTGTAACCTGGCCATCGCCGAAGACAGTTCCTAGTTGGAACGTAACAGTTGCCGAGTCGAGTTGTACTGTGACAGTCGCCGAGTGTGTTATCAACAGTTCTCCAGTCAGCCGACTACAAGTTGGAGTTTAGCAGCTGTCGCGGAAAGAAGAACCGGACGTGTGTGTGTGATTGTGTAATTGGGAGCATGTGATACAGTGATACCTAGCTCCCCTACTGTAAACGTGTAGACTTCTGAACACAGAGTGAACTGATTTGCGCATAGGGTTATAAATTGTGAAACCCCGCAACAGTGTTAACAGATTAACGCGATTAGGGTTATAAAGTGTGAAACCCCGCAACTGTGTGATAAGTAATTTTAGCCGTTATTTGTAGATTGTTGAATAAACCAATTAACGATCTCTATGGCGTCTTCAGTAACGCAAACACGTTACAATATTTAAGAACTCTAAATTTGAAAACTTTAAAAATGACATAAATATTGTATTTTAATCCTTAAACAGATGGTTCAAAGCCAATTACTCTCATTAAATTTTGATAAAACCCATTACATATCATTCACAACTAAAAACAACCACAAAATTGATCTGGACATCAGTTATGCCAATAAATTAATCTGTAAAGTACTTGATACAAAATTCCTTGGAATACATGTAGACAGTACACTGTCTTGGAAAATACATATTGAACAAATTATACCTAAATTAAATGCAGCTTGCTATGCGATGAGATCAATTAAGCCTTTTATGTCACAGGAAACATTGAAGATGGTTTACCATGCCTACTTTCATTCTATTATGAACTATGGATTAATATTTTGGGGGAACTCTTCACATAGTGTAATAATTTTTAAAATACAAAAGAATATAATTAGAATCATTACAGGATGTAGAAGTAGAGATTCATGTAGAGAATTATTTAAGAAATTAAAAATTCTACCTCTTCAATCGCAATACATATTATCGCTTCTCTTATTTGTTGTTTACAACAAAGATAAATTCAAATTAAATTCTGATGTCTATAACATGAATACTAGACAAAAATATAACTTCCACCTACCCTCATCAACTTTATCAGTATATCAAAAAGGAGTCTACTTTACTGGCATAAAAGTGTTCAACAATCTGCCACAAAGTATTAAAAACTTGGGCAATGATACTAAAAAGTTTAAACAAGAGTTAAAGAATTATCTGCATGCTCATTCCTTCTACTCTTTAGATGAATACTTCAATGTAAATAGAGAATGATGTAAAATTAAGTTATATTAATTTTTAAGCTAAAATTGCCTGTACTTATGTATGTAACCTTTTGACTTGTTCTGTATCCAAAGGTACTAACCTGCTTAGGATTTATAGAATGTAAATAAATTCAATTCAATTCAATTTCAAAATCCTCGTCCACCCATAGTTCCATGCAAGCAATGTAATTCTTTACACAAATAAACACTCCACCACCTCTAGTATTCCTTTCTCTCCTGAAAGCTGTGTACTCGTCCCTAAAAACTTCGGCATTGCTGATTTCCTCTCTGAGCCATGACTTCGGACCTATTATAACATCGGGATTATATGTATCAATTAAATTCCAAAATTCTAAAAATTTATTAAGAATACTCCTGCAATTTACCTGAAGCAAGACCAAAGAATTGCCCTCTATCTTCTGTGTCCCTCCCGTAGCTACACATCCATCACTTGTGTCTTCCTGTCTCCTTGTCGCTGCCCCAGTTAGCGTCGGATCCTCGGTAATCGTGTTCGTCATCCTTCCAGGCGTTCCCTCATTGTTAACCCTCAGCAGCAGTCACTCGTTCCTATTTTGCACTCGGCCGCCGAAGTCACACACTCTGGAATACAGCTGACCTAGTTTCCTCGCTCCGCTACTGTTTATGTGTAGTCCATCCCTGCCGAAGTCCCAGTCCTCAATCCAACTGTTTGGGTCCACAAATGTAACTCCCAGCGACCTCGCTACCCAGTCATATCTGTCATTTAGTGCTCCAATACGCCGCCACGACACTTCTCTGCGCCTAAGTACGCCATTCAGAACTAAAGTGGCTTGAGGAAACTTAGTCTTAGCCTTCTTCACCAGAGCATATACATCACCCATCACATAATCCAGATTTCCAGTTCGTCTTAGATCGTTAGTGCCTACATGAATTATGACAGTATCAGGGGCCCCTAGATCTCTGTTGTCTATGACTCGCTCTAGTTGCTCAGTTCTAATTCTCGGAAAACACTGTACCCTCATATGTTCAGCTTCCACATTGCGTATAATGGAGTCACCCAACACTAAGCACTCAGCATCTTGTTGTCTCTGCACCGCATCACCCCTGGCAACCGCTTCTCCTAACTAATCTTCCAGCACACTGTTCTTCCGTTTAAGTTCTTCAATCTGCTTCTTTGCATTCTCCAGTTGTCGAAGCCTGCCCCACCTACACCTCTCAAAACTCCACTTCTCGCTCTCTGCCATTTGGGCCTTTACATTGCCACAGCTGTTGTGAAACCAGCGTCCACATGTGTCGCACTGTGTTCCCGATTTCAGGTTCCTCTCACACCCGCTACACAATACTTGTAGAATGTTCTCAGCCTCCACAACAGGACCAGGGTTTTGCTCCACACCGCCGATTACTAATACTATGGCTAGAGCCGCTGCGCATAGAAGCATGTTGCCTATGTAGCTTCTTGCTTGTCCGTTCACCTCCCGGCCTTGGGCATGGCGCCAGGGAGTCCTTGCAGCCCAGTTGCCCACACGAGCTCGATAGTCCTCCAGGTAGCAACCCATTTCTATTAACTTTCCGGAAACACAACCGCTCTCGACAACGAACTGTACTAGACTAGTTTTGGTTATAATGCAGTTCATTCAGGCAGTGAAGAAAACGGCATGAAGGGAGGGCCATAACTGCATTGAATTTAAGTACATTTGAAAGCTATTCCTCTTGAGTCATTCCACTATATCAATACTCTAAATTCCAATTAATAATACTGACACAGAGACAGTGGGTTTTTGGGACTTTATCCATCATCCTTGCTTTAAAGATAACTAACAAAAACACGACATTTCGGAAACTGGATTTGTTTCCGTCCTCAAGTGAGGGAAAACACGTATTCTCTTGGGTTCCTTAGAAAGAGCTAGCCTCAATCACTTGACAACCGATGTCACAAACCACAAAGGTTATAACTACCTGAGACCAGGTTAAGTCCATGAGAGCTAATAAGAAAAATATACATAACAAATTTTTCCAAACATGTACAAGCGTGGGACCAGCATAGATAGAGCAATAGAAATTTATGTCATGAAACCAACTAATAATCAGGTCCATTACACCACGGCATGGAATATAAAAGGAGAACTAGTAAGAAACTGATAGTGACTAACTAGCATCACCAATGGAGTAAATCACGTCTATCTAATTTAGAACCTAATAGAAATCAATAAAATCATATATCACATCATACAAATATTCTATGTGAATTGGTGACTTCATTGCTGATAATGGGGATCCAAGTCCAAACTGGGTTGGCTAATTGGGTTGGCCGAGCATGCCATATGGGCCACTTCCTTGTATTTCCTATACCTGATGTGCCTTTCAATATCCAAAATCTTAGCTTCATCCCAGCCTACCTTATGTCCCTCTTCATAGGCATGTTGAGCTAGTTTAGATTTTTCTAGAAGACCTTCTTTGAGGATATGCCTATGTTCCTGGAGCCACACGGCCAGAGATCTGCCTGTTTCGCCAATGTAGCTTCTGCCACATTCACAGGGAATGCTACAGATGCACTATGCCGTATGTTGCGAATCTCTTTTTGGTCTGGTTTTCATAAGAGAGTTCCTAAGAGTGTGCTTGAATGGACAATGGTCCTAATATTATATCAATTACCTATCCGTTTAAACTTTTCAGAAACACCCTTCACATATGGAATATATACAGAACACAGAGGGTTCTTCTCTCTCTTCGGATGACTACTGCCCTTGGAATTAATGATCGAGTCAATGAAGCCTTTGGGATAACAGTTCAACTGAAGATCGTGTTTCAGGTTGTTAATTTCTTTGACCAAATCTCGCCAATCTTGGCATATGGTGGAGGCTCTGTCGTGGAGACTTTCAATCAAACCTCTTTTTACATGTGGCGGATGGTTAGGTTTGAAGTTGAGGTATTGGCCAGTGTGTTATACACCACTCTCAGAATCCTACAGTAATAATATTGACACTGATTAATTTTATTAAAGAATATTTCACAATTTTCACTGACAATTTCCATCTAAGGCAAAGGAGACCTAAAGCAAAAAGGAGTGCCTCATTGCCAAACCACTTTCTATTTTTGATCTCATGACAGACCGCTCAGTTTCTCTGCTGAATTCATAGTGAAAAGATGTAAGCAAGAATTTCATGATCCTTTCAATTAAATTCTCTGTACTACTTCATTTCTCCAAAAGCTGAATCAACCGTCCTTTATTTAACTTTTTTTTTTAATCAATATACCAAGTATACCACAGAAATATATCTTTTCTGCTATGTCCAATACAGCACAGTTTGTATTCATCTGACCAATCCGTAACACTTATTTCAATGTACTCAATCCAAGTGATATATCAATCTGAAACTAACTGATCAACGAATTTACTCACATGTAATGGCAGAAGAGCACAGATAACACAGCAAAAAGAATATGATGCTGCTGAATTACGTGTATAAGCTGTCGATCCGTTTCAATGACTACACTCTACTAATCACTAGCTACCAATGCTGAATTAACATAACTACAGGAGAATGTCATGTCATTTCTGTTTCCACTCAACAAGATAGGGCTTGTGCACATTCAGCAGTCAGAATCAAATGGAACTCATTTGCACAGATATTTTGTACCATGGGACTCAGTTAATTTCCCATAAGTTATAAAGGCTAGCAACAGTAATAAACTTCAATATATTGCAGCATTCTACAAAACTGAAGCATGTCACACACAGCAAAAAAGTCTTACTTACAAAATGAAATACTGTCGCATGGTGTAACTCACATATTGTTCCTTTAGTCTAAACCCATCTCTACTGCTCTGATTTACTGCACATTTCAACATGTATGCGCTGATGTCTCTAACGATTACTGTCATGACTAAGTGACCTTTTACGTACATCACATCAAAATGGCTTCTCCCTACTATGTATGTGCATATGCCTCTTCAGATGACTCTTCGAAATGAAAGACTTTTTACATACATCACAACAAAATAGCTTCTCCCCACTATGTATCCTTTGGTGTCTCTTCAGACTATACTTCTGACTAAATGACTTATTACATACTTCACAGAAAAATGGCTTTTCCCCACTATGTATGCGTTGATGTGTCTTCAGATTACTCACTACACTGAATGACTTGTTACATATATCACAGCAAAATGGCTTTTCGCCACTATGTATGCGTCGATGTATCTTCAGAGCAGTATGTTCACTGAATGACTTATTACATACATCACAGCAAAATGGCTTTTCACCACTATGTATGCGTTGATGTTTCTTCAGATTACTCCGATCTCTGAATGACTTATTACATACATCACAACAAAATAGCTTCTCCCTACCATGACTGTGCAAGTGCCTCTTCAGATCATCCTTCAAAATGAACGACTTTTTACATACAGCACAGCAAAATGGCTTCTCCCCACTATGTATGAGTTTATGCTTCCTCAGAGTACTCTGATCACTGAATGACTTATTACATACACCACAGAAAAATGGCTTTTCGCCACTATGTATGCGCTGATGTTTCCTCAGAGTACTCAGATCCCTGAATGACTTATTACATACATCACAGCAAAATGGCTTCATCCCACTATGTATGTGTTGGTGTGTCTTCAGACTACTCAGATAATTGAATGACTTGCTACATACATCACAAGAAAATGGCTGCTCCCCACTATGTATGCGCTGATGTATCTTCAGAGTACTCAGATCCCTGAATGACTTATTACATATATCACAGCAAAATGGCTTTTTGCCACTATGTATGCGCTGATGTGTCTTCAGATGACTCTGATGACTAAATGACTTATTACATACGATGCAACAAAATGGCTTCTCAATATGTAGGCGCTGATGAGTCTTTAGAAGACTCTTACAGCTGAATGATTTATGACACACAATGCAACAAAATGGCTCTTTCCCACTATGCATGCGCTGGTGTGCTCTCAGAATAATGTGCTGACTGAATGATTCACCACACTCATTGCAGGAATACTGTCGATCCTCACCATGTACGGGTTGAAGCACATTCAAATTACCCTGGAAAATGAGAGTAAATAACATGAAAAATCATAATAGGAAGAGAAATGTGTTTGCACCCCATTGTGTGTTGAAGCCTGAGTCCATCAGCATGTATGGAGGTTTCTGAGTCAACGTTAAGCTGCACTGTCACTGTTCAACAAATTGCAATATTAAATGAAATTATGCATTTGTAAGGCTAGACAGGCATCCAAATAATAGTGGTTAGGCTCCAAGAATGAAATAACAATAAAGGCTGTGTGTGTATACATATATATACAGTAAAACTTGGTTATAGCAACATCGGTTTCTGCGACACCTTGTCTATTGTGTCACATATTCAATGGTACAAACTAATTCCTCATAAAGCAACTGTTTTTATACCTTGCTTAGTACGACATGCACAAATGCATCAACCTCGTATGTAACGTCATTTTCATTCCTGAATTTCTCTGATATTGTGGGAAAGTTCGATGTGTCTGCCCACCCTCACTTTCTCTACTTGCTGACGTGACTGTCCTGGAAGAATACGACCGCGGGCTGCAAGAGGAGCGTGGGTTTTATGCGAAAACNTTAATTCCACGTTAATGTTACGTTAGTCTGTACTTAACTACGTATTTCACTAAAAAATGCAACATTTTAACTCGGTTTTTGGTAGATTTTTACGTGACTAACATAAGGCTACTGTGGAAGTGCCCATTTCGGTTACAACGCCATTCGTTTATAACGACACTATTTTTAGGTCCCTTTGATGACGTTATAACCAAGTTCTACTGTATATATAAAAGTCCTCAAAAAGAATAATAGCATAGTGTCAGTACAATAGACATGTCCACCCTGTTACCATGAGCAAATCCATATGAGTCATCTCCTAGCTTGCCACAAAAGATCCCTTGACAATGTAAACGTTTGGCTTTTGCCAGAAAATGGCCACTACTTCTGGATGTGTGAAATTGTATTGGGCACACCACACTGTGTAGAAGCAGGAGTGCGAACGCCTTGCAACAGCTACATATGTATATAAAATGTATACAGAAGTATGCAGTCACTTCACAGTTTATGATACTTCACACTCTTGACAGGCGCGCGGGCGTTCGCCACTTCTCGAAGCAGTCCATGACACACAGCGCAACATCACACTTTGTGCAATAGACAATGGTGCTCCTACTTTTCTTATTTATCGAACACACACAACAACGTCTTTGTTTCCCTTTGGTTGGCCAGTGTTGTGAATGTTTCACCTCCAGTTGACTCCTTTGGGTGCCAGATGAACTGGGCCTCGCCAGAGAAATGACAATGACCGTGATATTTGTTTGTGCATTTAAAGGATCATCTTGGGGGAGGGGGGGTTTCCAGCAAATTGAAATAAATTATGTTTACTGACAAAGTGACACTCTTACCTGTTAGTAATACTGGCACAATAGTGATGCAAAGTAATTATATTATTAGTCAAAAAGAGTGCCAGGCAAACACTGGGTTTATACCTCTTCCGACACACAAAAAATATTGTGACGTATTTGCGCTATGCCGGACCACCCCACCCTTTAGAGGTGACATAATAGCACTGGAGCAAATGTGGCTGCTATGGTAACAGGCCACTAAACACTCCGCTCACACCCCGTGGTGACATAACAGCACTTCCCATTCTGACGTCACAGGAGACACAGCCGTTAACACGAGGCAACAGGGAATGGTATAAAAAGCCAGCTGAGCATTATGCGAGCAGTATGACTGACAAATGACAGACCCGACCTCTCGTCAGAGAGGACACACCAAATTAAGAAGACAGTACCTTTCATATAAGAAAAAAGAAAAAGAAATCTGGACATGAGCCCCAATTGCGGCTCAACACCAAGACAGACTGATTGACAGATTGACAGACTTGGATGTGAGCAGTGTGTGATCAGGAGTGACACAGTGTGGATCGTGAAGTCACCGAGAGCAGTGGAAGTAATTGTGATACTACCAGTGGCAGTAATTGTGAATTGTATAAGTGTACGAGCAAATGTGGAAAAAATTCGCTATATTCAATACGGCGTGAAGTTATTTGTCGCGTTACATACCCAACACGTGACAATATATAAAGAAAGTGATTTTCAAACTGATGAAGAAATATATGACAATCCGACACCGACTTCCTAACTGATAATTCGCTATTGAAAACCAATCCTTGAACACGTCACATTTCCTTGAAAGCTCTGGAAGTACTAACATGGGAACACAGATGAATATTTAGTCCTCAGTTCTCAAAACAAAGTTGTGCTCCATTTGGCTGGCCACACCATAAACAGTCATATCCAAACATAAATAGTATCAAAACCAGTACCGCGATAAACAATTTCATTGTTCAGAGCTAACGAATGAACCACTGACATGAACTTGCATGGGTCTATTTTGGTTTCAAACCAAAGATCAAACTGAGAGCACTCCCAAAGGGAGCATAAGTCCTTTATATAACATTTGGTCAACACAGGGTGCTACTTGCTGTCGATATATATTACATTCATCCATTAAAGGTTAAGGGTTAATCTGAACCACTTCTGCTGCCGCAAGGAATGTCTACGTGTAGGGGGACAGCATTTTCAACACCTTCTGTGACCTGTGAACTGCATACTTCATTCCACATGTTACTGGCCACAAGCATACTAATTCACTGGCAAAATTAGTATGCGTCTTGCATCCAGTGGCACATCAGTCATTGTGAACTGGCTGAGAAAATTAAGAACTTCCGTCTATATGTAGATGTAGAAATTTTCTTTGATGTTCATTAATAGCCTTATTTATGTGTTTAATTACATGCACTGTATATTCCATTTCACCACAATTGTGTCTATATACTTGTATTAGGATGTGTTGCCAATGCCAGTTCTTCACTATTGTTCTCTACACCTTTTACACATTCTTTGTATCGAATGTTCAGTCACCTTTCTGTCTGACAAACAACAAAAAAATCTGTCATGACAACCAATGACCCGACAGCAGGTGCAGGGGCAACTCCAATGGTGTCAGGTATATTAATTTTCCTTCAAACAAAGGGCAACAGGCAAGACGTGTCTATATTCAGTCACACATTGTCACAAATCTTTAGAGAATCATTAGTTATCCTGTTACAAATCCTCAACACAATGACACCTCTATGTTATTACATGGATACAGACTGCATGGGAGACAGAAAACAAATGATAAACTTCAGCACTTATAGATCCTGGAACTCTATGATGTAGTACCAAAGCACTGCTTATTGGACTGGACAAAGAAAATGTGAAGAATTTTACCTGTATACAATTTACCGCAAACATTCAGTTTATACAGTACTTCATTTCATCTATCAGATCTGCTCAAAAGAAAATGGAACTGGTACATCACAAGCAACATTCTACAAAACTACAGTTGCCTGGAAACATTTCAGGAAAAAGAAACCTTCAGAATCTAGTCAACACCACAGGGGAGTTGTTTCATTTTCACAGACAAGAGAAGCAGCATTTCTGCACATTTGTGTCATCTACCTAACAGTGCACATACAGCTCACCTCAGGTTCAGCCTTTATTTTTGGAAATGTTATTGGGACAGGATCCTCCTCGTCTTCTTCATCTGAGACTGCCTCAGCTTTTACATTCATGGCCTGATTTGCATCATGAGGTGTTGGGCATGTCTCACCATATGGACCCACCAAAGTATTCTCTAATTTTCTACAGTTCTGTAAAAACCATCATATCCTTCTCAGAAATGGATGCACAACACCAAATATTAAACAGCGTATGCTCTCCTTGCTACGACGGTTTCTCGTAACATTAAACTCATAAGAGCTGTTCTGTATAGATGTTCTTCTCTACAGTTATCACGATCACTAGAAAGTACTCGGTTCATAGCTCAGTGGCCTTCCCGAGAAACTATCGGTCACTGCAGCAGTACAGAGAATATCTCCTTATTTGGTACCTACAAACATCATAATGAAGAGCTCCACAACTTGTAACCTTCATTCACCAAGCATAATTATATGATAAGTTCAAGAAGGATGAGATGGGCAGCTCATATAGCAGGCATGGGGGAGAAGAGGAATGCATACAGGATATGTTGAGAAAGTCAGAAATGGCTCATTACTGTGATCAGACATGCTCATCATGACTCTGTATACTAAGGCAAACAGACCCAGTACAAACCCTTCCAAGTTATTTCTTTCAAATCCACAATTAGGGCTCCCAAGTGGTGTGCTTCTCTCAGGGTTTCCTTCCAAAAATTTTTTTTTTTTGCATTTCTCACTGTTGCATGAGCACTACTTTACTTACCCACATTACTCTCCTTGAACTTTTTGCTCTCCTACATAATATCCCAAACTGTTATCACCCAAGTGTAAGGAACACCCCACATATATTATGCAAACAAACAGAAGCCTGTCACAAAATATTTAGCTCTTTGGCCAAGAGAACTGAAATAAAATAAAATTATTGTCTGTGCACACAAGCACAAAACACAATTCTTTCGCTTACAGCAGGAAACTTTTCTTCAGCTCTCTGCAGTACAATTCCTGTCATTCTTGTTGCAAGAGAATGCAGAATCTTTTGTAACCTTGAAACCTAATCACCACATGATAAATATCTTGTGGGGTTCACTGTAATTAGCTTACAAGAGTCCTAGTAACTTAAATTCCTGGTTCTAACAGGTGTACCAGTAACTAACTGCAAACAGTTCCATGACTCCCCAGGGAATTTAATTTCCCTCAAACACTGTTCCATTTATGCATAATTTAATTTCATCTGCATTAGAACTGCTTAAAAGGAAATGGAAGTGGCATATCACAAGCAGCAACATTCAACAAAATATAACTGGCTAGAGACACTTCAGAAAAAGGCCTTCAAAGGCGAGTCAGCAGCACAGTGGAGTTGTTTCAAGTGCACAGACAGCCAGACAGATGGAGATGGGAGAGAGAACTGGAATTCCTGCCTATCTGTGATATATGCCCAACAGTGGACATGGAGACAAATGCAGCTCACCTCAGGTTCAGCCTTTATCTCCTGAAATGTTATTTGCACAGGATCCCCTTCATCTTGTGAGTATGAGACTTCCTCAGCTTTTATATTCATGGCTTGGCTTGCATCATGACTTGCTGGGTATGTCTCACCATGTGGACCCGCTAAAATCTCTGAATTTGTAGAGTTCTGTAAAGGCATCACATCTTCTATCAGTCATGGCTGTACAATACCACACATGAAACAATATATGCTCTCCTTTCTGTAGCTGTTTTTCATTACATCTAACCCATAACAGCTACTCTGTACAGATTTCTTCCCTACAGACTTCATAATCTTAGCAAGTGTTAAGTTCTTAATGCACGGACCTTCTTGAGAAACGTGTGGTCCCTGTGGAAGTACAGACAATATATATCTGCTCTTTCTGGAACCTAAGGACTTATTACTGTGTTCACACATGCCCATCATAACTTTGCATCCTAATATAAACACAGTCCAAAACTCTTAATTGTATCTTTAACAAAATCCATCTCCACAATTGTCTCCCAAGTGATCTCATTCTTTCAGGTTTTCTGTCAAAATTTTTGTATGCATTTTTCATTCTCACATGCATGCTATATGACCTGCCCGTATCACGATATGAACAGCCATTCATAGGATCTGAACAAGCTTGCAGAATCTCAACTAGAGTTGCCAAAATAGTGATCAGGGACTAGACTGATAGAAACCATAAGTGTAATCAGACATGCAAAGGGTTCTATAGCAGGACCCTCTGCCAGAAAAACGAAGGATCTGTTGAGATTAAACAGAGATCAACTAGGATGGGTGGTAGGATTACTTACTGGACACTGCCACCTGAAAGGATATATTTTCAAGTTGGGACTGACGGATAACCCAACTTGTGACAGGTGCCTACAAAGAAAACAAATCATCCACACACATCCTGTGTGATTGTGAGGTTATAGCTCATTTAAGATTTCGCCACTTGGGTCAGTTTTTTACAGAACCAAGTGACTTTTATGATGCCCCCATAAGCAGGGTCCTACACTTTATTAAAAGTGTAGGATTAATAATGGGTTACTCTAAGTGGAAGCACAACAGATCACTGAAGATCGAGTCCGGTTACAATATGAAGAACCATGTAAACTCCCCAGATGGATTATGAAAACTAACATAAGCTTGGCATAACAAGTTTAGTTTCTTAAGATATGAGAATTAAAGTTCTTGTCTGTGCACAGAGGGACAAAACACTCACCATCCTGTCACAGCAGGAAATATTTCTTCAGCTCTCTGTAGTGGAATTCTCGGCATTCCTGTTGCAAGAGAATGCAGAATCTTTCATAACCTTGAAACTATATTTTATCACACATGATTTGTGGGTGACAAATGAATTCATTTACAAGAATCATAGTGATACAGCATCATATTTCTAACAAGTGTACCAGTACCTAGCTCTGAATATTTGCCCAAGTATGTAAGGAAACACTAATTATCGTGAATACACACTGACTTGGATTTCTTTGTTCTCACAGCAGAGGCTGGCAGAGATTACTGAAGCTTGCAGTCTTATTACACGTTGTGTAGTGTAACAAATTGTTGCTCAGTTATGATGGCAGGTAGTTCACAGATTTTGAGTGAACCTTTTGCTTCCAAAACGTCGATAACTGGCTACCACAATGCACGCGTCCTAGAAACGGCAAACCTACTCTACAGATTTACATTGCAAAGTCCCAAAAACGCATTGTATGCCCTGCAACTTCAACCAGTTCAACACAGACCGTCGGCTCTCATGACTTCCTTTACAAGTCGGATTGGTATGTGCGGGTATGTGTAACTGGCGAGAAAGGGCATAAAACACTAAAAATGTCCATTCTACAGGTATAATCACACTCAGAGCGGGCGTTGCGAAGTTTAGCAGAATCCCAGCTACAACTTGCAACTGCGTAACGATATCACGAACACAAAATTTTTAAAAATATGAGGAAACTGAATTTATCTCAATGATCCCAATGCGTCCCTAAATACCCAAAACTTACACACTTTCATTACAAACAAAATATCCGTAACCGACGATGCAGGAGTTCGTTCAACTTGTGGTCAGCCCCATGAAACTCACATGTTATTGGTGGGCAACATAGCCGCCATGACACCACGATGAAATGCTTTTGCCATCTCTGCGAATTCACCTCTAACTAAATACAAAATGGCCGCCAGATCCGACAGCGCAAACGGTAAGAAGGTATGCTACATATCACCTTTTGGGTGTTTCTCGCTTCCCCCCCCCCCTCTTCACCATTTTTGGAAAGCTTTTTTCTCAAGAATAGCAGTAAATAATTATGCAACCAGATGTTTTACACTGCAGAGGTTCCTGAACCCCCTTTTTTTAACTCTGTTCAGTATCACTTCACCCATATCCTTTGGAATGGATATGAGTGAAGTGATGTTAAACCTGGTTCCCCCTTTAAAAGCAAACAGTACATGAGATCAGGTTGCAAATTATTTTTCTCACCAGTGCCTGGAAAGTAATAACCTTTCTTTCACATCACACACCTCTTTATCCAAATGCACTGGACATTGTGAGCTGTAACATACATGGAATACATGTATTTATGGAAGCTGAAGACTGGGAAATTTGAAAGAAAATTCTGTTTTCATCAGACACACTTATACTATACCTCATAAGTTACTCACAATTTACACTTGAAAGCCACACAGAACAAAGTTTTTCACTTATATGTATGTATTATAAGTCATGCACAGTAAGCAACAGTACTCATGTAACCATTTATTATTAATTTCATTAGAATGTAAACTGCAGCCTTGTCAACAAGATTAACATTGCATTTAATGACACATGAAAATCTGATATATTCATCTTTACCAGTTATGTACAGGGCAGAATAATGTGGCAAAAATAATAATATACCTTACAGAAATGTAATGAATACTGAAAATTTGGTATCTATTTATTTTCCATTTCAGTACTGGATACGATTATATAGCAATAATTAAAAATATGTCCGAAAGAAATGCAATGTTTATTGAAAATGTTAGGTTCATGTTCGCCAGTTCAGTACAGGATATGATTATATGGTAAAAATCATCTACATGGATGAAACCTATATTCGTTTATCGCACACCACCCCATATGCATGGAGTCATGGATCCATCCAGGGATTATTTTCCCCTATTTTGAAAGGCCAGCGGTTTCATCTTTAATGCCTATGTCCGCTTCAAATCCCACCAAAAAAAGGAGACTACCACAGTGATACGAACTACACCAATTATGAAAAATGGTTAAAGGAGTGACTTATTCCTAACCTTCCCCCACATTCTGTCCTTGTCATCGATAATGCTCCCTACCATAATGTACAACTAAACAGAGCCCTTAACTCAAATTCAAGAAGAGATTTTATGATATCCTGGCTAAAATATCACCTTCACCTATTACTTAAAATAACACTGATTTTTCATCCATGCGGAATCCAGACATATACAGAGTGTCCCAGGAGGACTATGCCAGATTTCGGGAGGGTGTTCCTTATGTTAAAGTATGCTGATATAACCCGAAACACCTATGTCCAAAGTTGAACGGTTACAGAGATAATGGGCCGAGAAAAGTGTGGTTTTTGGGCGGGTCCACGCACTGTACCTGTCAACTGACAAATCTTATCGATGTTTGTCCTCGAGTTTGGTGATGACAGCTCACACTAGCCGCCTACACAAGCATACCAGAATGCGCAGTCAGCCATGTTACGTCAGTGCTCGCCATTCATGTGTCATGTATAGTGCTTGGAACCCTAACGACAACTATAACATGGCGTGCGAGATTTTTGTAGTTCAACTTATGGTTTCATGTCACTCACAAGTTATTTTGATGTTACGTACATTATTAACATTACAGAAACTACATATTCCTGGAAGTTTTAATATGTATTTGGTAATCCATAAGTGTGTAACACCTGTCAAAGATTCACACTTCTCTGGCCATTATCTCCGTAACCGTTCAACTTTGGACATAGGTGTTTTGGGTTATGTCGGCATACTTTAACATAAGAAACACCCTCCCGAAATCCGGCACATTCTTCTTGGGACATTCTGTATAAAAATATCCTACCACTCAAACCGAAATACCTTTCCTGTAAAATAAATGCAATCTTTGCAGAACACAGTCGCAATATTTTACGACTCCATCCGTATCACCCAGAACTAAAACTAATTGAGTTAATATGGGCCAACGCGAAAATTTGGGTTGCTCAAAAACGATACCACATTTAAGACGGATGACATCATTAAACTGGCAGACCAAAAAGTGGCTCCCATAACTGCAGAAAAATGGAAAAGTAAGTGCCAACATGTAAGGAACATTGAGCAACAATTAATGGCACAGGAAGGCCTTTTGGACGCAGGACGGGTGTTCGTATTCCATGTTGGCGGTCATAGTGATGACAGTACTGATGATAGCTCCGATTCATCTGGTGGTGACGAGGAAGGACAGGCATGTGGAGATGATATCTATGCCGACTTTACCGGTTTGCCTCTTTAGAATAGACCCGTGTAATATGTAAATAAACTCTTCATGAATATAACAGTGAAAAGTGTATAATAGTGTATACTGCATAATAGTCTGCCATTCGGCACTTAAAACTTAACATCGGATGTGTAAACATCAACGAGACTAAACCACCATCACTATGCAACACAATGAGGTAAGAAGTTATATCCTTTGAGAACGCATGTACTGCATTCCCGGCCAAACTTGTCGGCATGCTGGTGCTTTCCTCGCCAACACCAATACTTCTCCTCCACCGCGTCGGCGGACTGTCAGCTCTAAGTACTACTGCTAAAGCTGCCGCAGCTCTCCTGCAACTGAGCCGAGACAACGGCTCAGTCATCAATCGTACCGTAGGCAGCTGTTCCTACAGGCGCACGCAGCACTAAATAACCGGCCGGACAAACCAGCTGAACGGCCGTAAAGACTAGGTCTACTACAAAGGAAAATATTCTGCCAGTGCACTCACGGGCCAACCAACGTTTGAACATCGACATTCCACATAGCCTTGTAGCNAAAATTCTGCCAGCGCTCTCACGGTGGAAGAAACTGCCCTTTTCAGGGCCAACCAACGTTTGAACATCGACATTCCACATAGCCTTGTAGCTATTCTGTACATTCAATTTATACAATTTAATATATACAATTGTTACAGTTTTCCCTAGATGTCTTTTAGAACATCGAAAATCCCACAGTATGACTAATACAAAGAGAAATTCCCCAGATAATTATACCATAGATAGTGACGGAATGAAAATATTAAAAATAAATCGTTCTTGTTGTTTCTTGTGACATGTAAGGTCTAACAGCCCTGACTGCATAACGGGCCGAAACTAATTTAGACATAAGCCAGTTGACATGTCCTTTGCATGTCAACAGATTGTCAATAATTTATGCAAAAATTAGATACTAATAGATTTAACAATCTGTTACCGCACCAATAGACAACTATCCTTAGTAAAAAATTATACGAAAATATGTTTTATCAAAATTTAGTGTCAATAAATAAACTTTAAACCAGTCATTCATGTTTTTAAATGTTTGAATATTACTGTTTTTCGTCAACATAGAGGCTAGGGCTCGGGTGTTGCCCATATCAGTAAGATGATGTAGGCACAACAATTGCTTGCTGATAACACGGCTCGAGCAGTTCAGTGACCACGAAAGTTCACACTGCAGGATGTCTCTGATATAATACAAGCCACGTGCACTGGGCCAGGTGTTCATGCAATGTGACTCCCAAAATAACAATATCTAATACTATATTCTTCATAAAAAAATGTATTCAGCATGTATAGGCTAAGTTCCTAGATTACTTCTTCAGGCTTTGGTGGTAGTTCGTAGCTAATCTTCATGGATAATAGCCGACGNGATAGCAATATCTAATACTGTATTCTTCATAAAAGAAATGCATTCAGCGTGTATAGGCTAAGTTCCTAGAGTACTTCTTCATGCTTTGGTGGTAGTTCGTAGCTAATCTTCATGGATAATAGCCGACGGTTCGGAAAACATGGCTATTTCCGCCAGGTGTAATAATCCAAGATCATTTCTTTAATATTTAAAAAGTCATGAGTCATGAGCAACAATTTTTTGTAAAGTAGCGTGCTTTATTATTGACAAACCAAATACACCATCTCAATCTACACACCTTTCTTTATTTTACCGCATAATCGCCGCTTCTTTGTACACATTTCTACCAGCGTTCTGGGAGTTTGAATGTTCACCTTCTGTAAAATTCCGTTCCAGCCATCCGATGACACTGACGCACTGCTTTCTGGATTGCCTCCCTTGTCTCAAAACGTTATCCGAGCAGCTGATCCTTCACAAATCCGAAAAGATGGTAGTCGGAGGGTGTCAGATCAGGGCTATAGGAGGGGTATGGAAGAACTTCCCACCCCATCTGTCTAATTGCATCCAATGTGAGGCGAGCGGCTGGGGGGCGAGCGTTGTCATGCAGAATGATATTTCGTCCCGGACGTTTATCGCGCAATGCACGACGGAGCTTGTGTAGCGTCTGGACATAACGAGCAGCATTGATGTTTGCCCAGGTTCCAGGAATCCGGGCAAAATAAACACCTCTGCATCCCAGAAGACTGTGCCCATCACCTTCGTATGCTGATGGCACTGTCTTTGCCTTCTTTTTTATGGAGAATGGAAATGGTGCCATTCCACATTCTGCCGTTTCGTTTCAGGCTCGAAATTGTGAAACCAGCTTTTGTCACCTGTCACAATACAGAGAAAAAATCATCGTCTTCATGTCGATATCTCTGCAGCAGTTCTGAGGTGATGGCTTTTCGCTGAACTTTATGGTCTTCGGTCAACAAACGCGGGACCCAACAAGCATAAACTTTCCTATAGCCCAGGCTCTCAATCATCTCCTCTACTGCACTGTGCCTTATTGCAAGTTTTCGGGCAATTGTGTCCGCAGTCACGCCCCTGTCATCTTGAATGATCTCATCCACTCTTTCCTCGTTGTGTTCAGTTGAGACTGTTCGAGGACGATCGCTCCGAGGCTCATTTTCGCTGCTGGTTTTCCCATCTTTAAAATGTTTCACTCATCTTCGAACACTGCTCGCAACCATGCAC